CTCTTGGCCTCTATGTGCTTGAAACCAGTCAGCTAATTCTGATTGAGAAAGGGATTTTAGAGCGTCAATCTCTCAGACTAGTCACTTCCAGAATCCCAGAGCTGGGGGATTCTGGGAGGTGTAAGCTGCTTTCTCCATGGTAGTAAATGTATATGAGCCAGTCTGAAATCTGAGATCCTCAAGGGAGGCCTTGTTATCAGTCCTGCCACCTCCAGAGGTTAGGTTGGGAATACAAGAGACAGGGCTTTCTCTGTAGTGACACCCTAGTTCTGAAATTCACTTCCATGGAAAGTCAGGCTAGCTCCATCCACCTTGAACTTCTGATAAGGTAGCTGAGATTATAGTGTTTCATATGGCCTTAAAACCAGAGATGGCTGCTTTGGCTGTGTAACTGTGTATTATTTTAAAACTATAATAAATTGCTTTAATCTGTTTCCAAGCCATGTCTTTCTCTGTTTTGTCTGTTTAATGTTTTTAATAATTTTTTTTATCTGATGAAGATTGCCTTGGTGGGCTGAGATATGATAAAGAAATGGAGTGAATAAATAAATAGCCAAATATTTCCCTCAAATTTGTACCTTGAATCCCATTTTGGAAGAAAAGTGGGATATAAATTTATTAAATACATACATACATACATACATACATACATACATTGGGAAGTCTAGCTATATTTCTAATGTATATACTTCTTGAGAGTCAGAGTGGTGTAGTGGTTTGAGCATTGGACTATGACTCTAGAGATCAGGGTTTAAATCCCTGCTGGACCATGAAAACCCATTGGGTGACCTTGGGCAAACTGACACTCTCTCAGCCTCCCCCCCTAAGAAACTTGCCAATTAAACACTACAAAAATTTCACCCTAGGGTTGCCATAAGTCAGAAACGACATGAAGGCACACAATAACAACAGCAACAACATCATATACTTGTTAATGCATATACAGAGATACTGCGTGTGAGTGAATGTGATGGAATGGAAGGTTTTACACATTGAACATATATTATAGTTTTATGATACATATAAAATGATTTGCAAATAACCATGGTGGAAATTTACATGTGAAGCAATCCCACATACTTTGATTTAGAGTTTTTCATTGTCCCCCACCCCCAGTCAGCTGCCCCTTTAGGTAGAAGCCTTCTGTTCTTCATTGTGGAGTGTCAGGTCTAAGTAATACATTTTCCATTGTTCACAAAAATCCACAAAAATGGTGACGTAGGATGGGAGGTTTGTGGATGCATTTTCCCTACTACAGTTTGTCATGTGCATGTACCCTCTGCAATGCAGCACTAAGTGTTTTGCACTTGATAAGTGTTTGCCTCCTTCTCTCTCTCTCTGCCTACGACAGTGAATGTGTACAGGCAGCCAGGAGATTTAATAACACAAACCCTGCAGCAGACTGCAGAGCAGGCTGATTAGTAGTTTCAAAGGTACAGGGGAGCATGCAGAAATATCCCCCCCCCCCCGCAACCCTACAATCTGTAGGATCAAAGCTCCTGCTTGCATCAGGTGGTTAAGTCGCAGGTTCATCATTAAATGTATGCTGATGCTTACTCTAGGAGGGTAGGTGTTTGAGGCTGATGACAAGGATAACATCCTTTAGTTCAATGGAGCCTGTAATTTGGGTACCAAGAGAAAGCCCCTCAATTAAGCAAATAAGATTCGGTTCTGATTGTATATCAACAAAATACAGTATTTATAGAAGTACAGAGCAAGAAATAAGCCCCCCCCCCCCCCCCCCCCCCCCCGTAGAATTCCCTAAGAACCAGCATGGTGTAGAGCAGGGACAGGCAACCTTTGTGAGACCTGGGCCGGTCTCCCATTGCCCAGGTCTCGGCTGGGCCGAGGGGGGGGGCAATGGCGGCGCGCGTGCTCATGCGCGCACACAGCCCCCCTGCGCATGCTGCATGCACACACACACACATATATATGTGTGACACTTACATAAGGTCACACTGTCCCAGCCTACGTTGAAGTTATATATGCTGTCAGCCTGTGCAGAAGCCCATCATAGCCCGGCCCCATGCTACCCACTTTCCCCCCTCCTGGTTTGCTACACTCCAAAAGCATCTCTCCTCTCTTCCCAAGCATCTCCCCCACAGGTCACACTCTCTCTGTCCAGCCTGGGGTTATGTGCAACATATTTTAGTATGGCCCAGAAGCACTAAACGGTATCTTACCACAAAATAGCTCAGCTACCAGATATGCCAAAGGCACTATGTAGATAACACAATGGTGCTCACATGGAAGATGGGCAAATCAGCCTCTGCAAAAACCGCTGATGCCATGTCCAATTTTTCCCACCTTCCACCTTCGCCGTTAACAGCTTGTCAAAAGCCTCTTTCCCTCACCCCTTCAGACCCATGACAGTCTTTTGGCCATGCCCTTTAAATATAGCCAGCTCTGCTTCTGTAGCCTCTTTTGGGAAAACAGAAGCGTGCATTCGATTTATTGACTCCCCATGCTTCCTGACCAATGAAAATATTCCAGAAATTCCCTGTCCATCCATGGCCCCAAGCCTTGAAAAGTTTTACATTGTATCAAAATATCTGCCTGTTAAGCAGACACTGATAGTGTATTGGTCAAAATGATTTTTTAAAGCATTTTCAAAAATGCATCGGTAATAAATAACAGCGACTCAATGAATACTCCATCAGTTGGGAATCATGGCGGTGTGGAGGATCCCCTCCAGAATCGAGTACTGGCGAAAACGAAAGACTAACCTCCTTCTGGACAGCATCGCCAAGCAGAACAGTGCTGCTAAGAGGCTGATGTGATCCTCCAAAAGGAGGATCATAAAATACTCTCAAGTTGCCTCTCATGACCTAGGCCTTAAGGGGTATGAAAAGTCGGCTGATCAGTGCTGAACCAAATTTAAGAACCTTAAGGGTACATTTTATAGGGCCATGGAAACATTCAATGGGGACCGCCCGCCCGCCAAAAAGCCTCCCTTCTTTCAAAGATTGAAAGAACTGTGGACTACAGCAGGGAGACCCTCCTGGAGAGAGTGGAGACCCACAGGCAAGTGACAATTTTTTCCTTTTTGGATCACAGGGCAGGGCAACAAAGGCTACAACTCCCCAAGGTACCCCAATGCTTTCCTCTTTTTCCCTTGCATTTCAAGGTGCAAGGTGCAGGAGAGTGGAGGAAACTTCCTCATCCTCCACTGATGTGGAAGAAGGATCCCCAGAAGGATCCCCAGAAAGACATCCTGCATCTCCTCCACAAGGTCAAGTGAATCGTTGCCCCCCGCAACACACAAGAAATGAGCTCCTTTTGAATTGTGTGTATGTGAAATATTCAGATATGTATGTGTGATCTGGCACTTTGTCACTCCAAACTTTGTTCTTTTGGGAGCGGCAAAAAGCTGCTCTTGCTGCCAGGGCAGTGGCTTTTCTGCGCTCCTTTGGCGCAGCATGTCTAAATGCTGTGCCAAGGGAACGCCCTGATACCGCCCGCCATCTTTTTGGGCGGGTGGTGTGAGGACAACGTGGAGGCGGAGTCAAGACAGCCAGTGTGCGATTGCCATGCCCCGACTCCACCCCTAGGCTGGCCCTTTTGGCCGGTCTGTACTGGCCCATTGACCATAGAATTGCACTGGAGCAGCTACAAATGCCTAGTGGAGTGTTCTCTCTAGGAATTGCTAGGTCTTTCAATGCGACTTTTGGTTAAAGTTGACCATAGAGTTGTGCCGGAAGAACTAGATATTTCTAGAGAGAACATATTAATAAAATCCATGAATAATCAAATCATATCTATAGATATAGATATACACTCATCCCTCCACATTTGCGGCTTTGACTTTTGTGGATTTG